CCAACAACCCCACCACCCCACCCGGGGCACCAAACCAACAACCCCACCCGGGGCACCAAACCAACAACCCCACCCGGGGCACCAAACCAACAACCCCACCCGGGGCACCAAACCAACAACCCCACCCGGGGCACCAAAACGGCTAGAACCGGAGGAGAGGACAAATACGAACGCTGCCTGTTCAACAATCTTAATTTAACAGATTCATAAAGATTTTCTTATTCGTTTATTTTTAGCTGAACATCATCTCGACAACAACAGCATAAGCCCCGACTCCTAATTATTTTTAATTACCGATGACAATAATGAGCCGAGTCACCAGGACACAAACAAAATGAACAATTACAGATTTCTGACTCCTGCTGTTGTTCCTGTTCTCTGGAACTCTTCTAGAAAAGCCTGAACACAACGTTACGTTTATTACATATTCATTATGTTGTTCCTTCCGTTTCATATTAAGTGCTGAGAACTGTTTCTGGCATCGACCCCAGAGAAGGGTAGTAACCATTTGGGACCATCGCCCTCCGTCATATTAGACTTTATGTGAGAATCGATCTTAGGAGATGATTGTCAGTAAAACAGCTGCAGTGGAGGTTGATGGTTAAATCTATTTCCACCTCAAGGCCGGCACATACAGCTTTATGTTCCCGTTCTTGCTGCGGCCCGGTTCGCAGGCTGGGGGGCTTCATTTCCATTTGCGGTACTTTTGCAGAGGATCCGGTGATTTTTCCGCTCACAAACCTGCCGCTGACCAATCGGCTCAGAGCCACCGTTAAAGCATCACACACCGGGGATGTATAGTCTGGAACACGAACGGCTGTAGGCGACTACTTTGGGTCACAATCACGAAGAGTGCGACTGATTTGATTTCACAGAGAAAGGTGCAATTAATATCCCGGGCCGGTGTTTATGGCCGCGAGCAGCTTCAGTCCAAATTTAAATGGGAAGCCATCGTTTCATCCCAGCAAACTTATTACTGTGCAGTTTTGACAAGGCGCTTAGTCGCTTTAATGCTCGACATAATTAGAACAAGTGTTCAAGTTCAGCTACGTATAAAACTCATTGACAGAGCCGTTACTGCCCCCTCCCATTCCCCCACCCGCGGAAAACTCTAGTCTTTAGCCAAGAGCCTTATGGAAACATAAAAGAAGTTCCTTTTACAATAAAGCAGAGGAACTTTTTACTGACGTTTGTCAACACTTCAGGCACTTAGAGGAGGGGTTGGTGTGGTGGGCCCTGGGTCGAAGGTACCGACCTGCAGCAGGACCGGTCGGTGTGTATCTAACTGAGTATTTTAAAAGAAGAATGAACAGAAATATACATACAGGTACCATGTACCTACTATAAACACAATTCACCAGAATTCCCAGAATCAACTTATAAAATAAAATCAGAAAAGTCCGATCAAAAACCCT